GTAATAAAAACTGAATGAATTAAATTAAAATGGCTCAATGTTAATTTGGATTATTATGAAAAACTGCCTTTTGAAAAAAACTTTATATTAAAAAAGACATTTTAAAAGAAGAATGAAAAATATTTCATAACATTGAGCTTAGATTTTACATAACATTCTGTTATTTCATCATTTCATTAGATTACATGATAAATAATTTATTTATTGAATTTTGAATACTTTAGAGTTCCATAAGTAAGTGCTCTAATCTTAAACTATAGAAGAAAAACATCAAAGCAACGTCCGTGTGATGAGAACGTTTCTCGCAGTCGAGGCTTTAAAGCTATAAAGATCAGCTTAAACAGGTCTGAACGGCCCTGGGGAGCCCGTTCACTGAAAGTCATCATCAAAACTTTAAAGTGGGTCCTTTAAGAGCAGTTAGGATCCATCAGAGCCGCTGCAGCAGGATGCCAAAAACGCTTTGCTGCAGCCGTTAGCTTCATCTGAAGACGCCGAAAGCTTTTCTGTCAAAATAAAAATAAAACCTCAAGCTGAAGAAGCTGTTTTATATCACGTCCCTCGTGATAAAAATCACAAAGTGCATTCAAGAGTAATGGCAGAGGATTTAAGTGTCCTCCCCACAATCGGAAGGTTGCAGGTTCAGTCCCTTCTCAGTCTATCGCTGTTGTTGTCTCCTTGGGCAAGGTGCTGGCGGTGGTCGGAGGGACCGACGGCACCTTGCCTCCATCAGTGCAGCCCAGGGAAGCTCTGGGTGTGTGTGTGTGTGTGTGTGTGTGCATGGGTGATGACTGACTGTGTTGTAAAGCACCTTGGGGGGTTCTAGGACCCTAGAAGGTGCTACAGACCGTTTACTATGTAAATAAAAATAAATAAATGGGGAAAAAAGGAAAAGTTCTCATTAACATGTGGAGAAGAAAAGTAATTATAATCCCGGCATGCTGAAAAAGACAGAACTGACAAAAGCAGCAGCATGAAGAGAAGCTAGTGATGAATCAGCAGAAGGTCCCACCAAACCTGAACGGGTGAGTTTAAAGGAGACCACTGAGTCCACTGATCTCAGGCTCAGGGGGAGGGAGGTCCAGAGTCTGGGGGCCACAGCAGCAGATGATCTGTCACCTTTGACCTTTAGCCTGGTGTGCTGCACAACCAGTAGGCTTTGGTCACTGGACCTCAGGGACCTGCTGGGAGTGTAGGGACTAAGAAGATCACCAATGTAAGATGGTGCTTGTCCATGTAAGGCCCTATAGACCAGAACCAGGATCTTGAAATGAACCCTGAAGTTGACTGGCAGCCAGTGAAGCTGGAGGAGAAGCGGGGTGATGTGGGTGTGTTTGGAGGACTTGGTCAGAAGCCGAGCACAGGCGTTCTGAACCACCTGTAGACGGTTCAGGGAGGTTCTGCTCAGACACGTGAAAAGAGAGTTGCAGTAGTCTAAGCGTGAGGAGATGAAGGTGTGGGACATATTTGACTTCAGAACCCTAGTCTCCCCTCAGGGTCCTGATCCGGACCCACTTTTAATCACAGGTGATCTTGTTGTTTATGCAACAAAACTTGAGTAAACAATTCACATCTTTTCTTAATTCAGCATTTGTTCCTTCTGTGGCTGGCAGAGCCAGGATTGTGCCGACTCTCCTGCAAGCACAACAGCCCTGAGCGTCTTCTGTTTTCCTGTAAAACACATTTCTGTGATGTGAGATGCCAAAGGAAGCCGAGGGAATCCAGAGGATTAAATGCAGAGAGGTGATGGTAATCCTCCTGAAGGCCGAGCGTCGACAGATCAACAGCTCGATGTGTGGGACTGATTTGTATCTGCGGGGAATGTTTACTGATCTTATCGTTTCTGGGATTCTTTTTAAGTTTTGCTTCACGTTTCTTTAGTAAGAGCAAACATTCTCAAATGGCTGAAAAGCAACATGTCATCAACGGGACAAAACCTGGAATCCGAAGCAGGGAATGATCGGGATTAAACAGGTTGTTTGGTCAGCAGGCGGAATCAAACCCTCAACCGACCTGCAGACACAAACAGCTGCAAAGGTTGTCGCTTCAGTGTTTAGAGATGTTTGCGCCAGCTGTTGCTATGGTTACTGAAGAAGAATGCCAAGCGTTGCATATTTCTGAAGGATTTTATGGGCAAAAACATGAAGTTGTTTAATGTAAAAGGTAGCGGTGGCGTTCCTGGAAAGCTGTTCTAGGAAGTTACATCTGGAAAAAAAAACACAATTCAAAGGTCCAACCGTCTTTCTTCAGCAACTTTTTTGTCATAATTCCCAACGCGCTCACCTACGTAACAGCTGAGCAGCCTCAGGCTGAGGACAGACTCCTCATAGCCCGGTCCGGTCTGGGACTTGGGTGAGAGATCTAGCCAAGAGGACTGAGCTTGTTACACTGGAAACCCTCGTCTCTAAAGCCTGGGTCATGCTTCTCCGTCGGCTCCAAAAGGGAGAGACACGCACGCATGGACGGGGACATTTTGCTCTCATACTTCTCCGTCTCCTAGAGTGTTGCAAAGCACAGGACAGCAGAGGGCGTAGCGCTGTTCTGTGGTATCCTGTCATGTATCGGTCCAAGATAGTGTGTTTATATTGTGTTTTTGTGTGTATAAGAGACTTTTTAACACAGACAAATTTGTCTCTCATCCTCCTCCAACTCTTCATGCGCTCGCCACCTCTAAACCCACGTTTCCTGTCATTTCCATCCACAAATAAAACGTTTGCTGCGCATCTTTTCACTCCTCCAGTCACGGGGAATTAAACGCTCATATTTTTAGTCTTTTCACGAGGTATTCTTCAAGCTTCTCCGTGTCTGCCGCTAGTTATTCTCGGCTCTCTTTATGTTTTTGAGGGCGCAACGGCGGCGGTGTAGACGACAGCGGCGTCCTGACCAATCACAAGCTTGCGTTCTCCGTCTCGACGGACGGATGTTTAGAAAAGAGAGCTCGACTCTGTCCGTCCTTGCGGGGCTCTCCAGCAGGCCCGCAAGGACGGGTAATGGCGTTGCGTGTCTCCGCGCCGATGCAGACGCAGAAGCATGACTCGGGCTTGACTCTGCTCAGGCTAGCTAACACTACCTACCTTTATGTGTAGCCGTTCACGCTGTTGATGAACACCTGGGCCAGATCCCGACTCTTCAGGGCTGATCATAACCTTCTCCAGGTGCTCCTGTCTTCAGGAGTTCAGAACATCAGTCTGTCCCTTTGTCTTGGAGAAAGGTGGCTTCTTTCCTGCCCTTCCTGACACAGTGTCATCCTGCACAAGTGCTGCAGATGCTCTCAGATCTGCCGGATGCCACAAAAACAGCCCATAATCAGCAATTGCAATTTCCACTTCACTACCTTTCAGTCAGATATCGATGCTGTTACGAGTGTGCTGACCATCTACGTGGCGCCGCCTACATCTGTGGTCAGACTTTGCTCCTGTAGCTGCGGGCTCAGTTAATAAACCAGAAATTACACAAATTTTCAGGTGAAAAGATTGAAGCTTGATCTGGCTGTAGCACGCATCACATCCACTGTCCGCGTTTTCACCTGCAGCATCTTTGTCAGCTTGAACAAAACGAGATGAAAACTCATCTTTAGAAGTAATAAAGCCCCCGAGTCGGGTCAGCAAACATGGATGAATGTCAGTGAAATGTGAAGTTAGGAGAAATAAGCTTCAGGCTCTTCCTTCGTGTTATGAATGGACACAGATAAAAGAAACCGGTTTGCTTTTGATGCAGAAGAAAACCTTTAAATGGGATGAATCTGAGGCAGCAGAAGAGACGACGGCGGTCCCGGCGAGAGAGCGACCTTTCCTCCAGGATGTTAACGGTGCAGGGAGGCACCAGAAGCTGAGCTGAGTGTTCTTCACCGCTCTGGAGTTTGGGTCGGTAGCAGCTCATCTGTTAGAACGTGCAGACGGAGGAAGAGGGTGTGTGTTGAGTAGAAGGTTGGTTAATAATCTCCTCTGTAAGTTCAGAATTAGTAAAACAGTAACTTTTTATTTCATTTACACCGACGTGAACAAAGGTGGCTTTTTCTTCATCTCCTGTAAAAAAAAAAAAAAAAATGGAGCCGCGATGTTTCGTTGCCAGGTTTTATTTTTAAAATCAAGGTCTGAACACTCCAGGTTTGTCTCTGAAAGCTCCGCCCACTCACCTGCACACAATGAAAATGTTTATTAAAGGGGCATTATGGAAGTGTGACAGCCAAAACATGTATAGAAATAATAAATGTCTTCTTCATACATTCTCCTGCGATGCCCTGGTCCTGTAGAATGAGCCCTGGCATTTTTACTGTGATTGCCTGTTTTTCTGTAAAATCACAGAAAAAGAGAGCTGCTCGGGTCGAGCAGGCTGCTTCATGCGCGTTCACGCTCAGGCATCGCCCGTAGCATTTGCTATCCGTAGCTTTAGCAGCAGAGAGAGAGGCAGTGCCACTTTGTCGCTGTTCCTAACGCCTAGTGACAAAGCTAGCTACATTTCTGAGGACCCTTAGCTATTTTCTGTAGAACTTTCTTCTAGATATTTCCTGCAAATTAGCAACAAAATAGTCATTTTCTCTCCGAACCGTTCTTTGAACGTTGTTTCAGCTGTCATCAAGGATATAAATGTTACAGATGTCAAAGAAATCAGTGGTGCTTTAGCTCACCTAGTAAGACGTCGGACTCTCGTGCAGAAGACCTGGGTTTGATTCTGGGTGTGAACATAGTTTATTTAGAGTTTATTTTTTACATTAATGGTATATTTTTTTACAGTAAGATGCCCAAATTTTTATTTGAGACTCGCCGAACGGCATTGAATTCACAGATTAAAAAGATGTGGGTTCAACTTTCATTTTGGAACAATTTTTCAAGCAAGGGAAGGGAATGATCTGAGCATGCAGGAGGACTGACCCATCATAAACCTTTGTCGGCTGTGCTGAAGAGAAAGGTACAGAACCAAATGATTTCATTAATTAGCTGCACGTTCTCCTGTTCTCTGTCCTCCAGGCCACACACATACACATACACATACACACACACACACACACACACACACACACACACACACACACACACACACACACACACACACACGGGTCTGTCTCAGCTGTTATTTTTGTTAAGGAGTGTGCACGTACAGCATGCGCGCCTCCGTAAAGTCTCTTTAAGCATCAAACAGCTTATTATAGCTACATTTATTACAAACACAGCTGCCAGGTTACACCTATGTGAAGTTAACTTTCAGTCAGAAAAGTGTCTTGTTTGTTGATAAGGAAAGGCGGGGCTTATGGGAGAACTGGTTAGCTTTGCCGTCCCGTTTTGTCGCCTTTATCGGAGTGGAGGTCGCATTGAAGCCTAGACCGCCGTCGTCTCCTCCAGCTCTTTGGAACTTCTCCCCCATAAATATGAAGATTTTAAACCATACGTCGTGTCCTGCAATAACGATAAAACGGGTCTGCATCTGAAGTTTTTAAAATTTTCTCTTTTCTCATCAACACAGTTTCATAGAACCCTGTTTTCCACCCACATCGTGCCTTATATTAATCTTTGTGTCTCTCTAAGTCATCCTGATCCTCCTATTACAGACAGATGATTCATCAATCATCAATCAATGCTGGAGGCTGCATGGTGGTGCAGTGGTTAGCACTGTTGCCTCACAGCACAAAGGTTGCAGGTTCGAAACTCGGCTGCGGCCTTTCTGTGTGGAGTTGCGTGTTCTCCCAATGCATGCGTGGGTTTCCTCCGGGTACTCCGGTTTCCCCCACAGATCACAACATGCCCTGTAGGTTATAAATTGTACGTCGCTTTGGATAAAAGTGTCTGCCAAATAAATAAACATAAATAAACCTAAACACCAAGTCGAACCAGTGGACTTCAGTGGAAGGAACCCTCAGTTGTCCTCCTCTCCTCCTTATCTTATCCCACGGCTCTTTGTCTGGCTTTGGGTGTACGGAGTCTCTGCATTTTTTCTGGAAACGGGAAATTATTAAAAATGGACCTGGTCAGTTGGTCTCTCAACGCGACTGACAAGATTTTTTCAGTGATGAGAACGGGAGAAGGGGCTCCCGGTTGCCCCTCTGGGACAGAGCCAGCTGGGTATATCATGGACTCCTGGAAACAGTGGAACCTGATCTGCCTCTCTCAACTGTCTGTAGAGGATTCTGAAGACGTCTGGATATTCGTGGGTTTGGTGTCAGGTTTTGTGCTGTTTGGCCTGAGCGGTTACCTGGCTTACTGGAAAATTAATGAGCTTTCGAGGAATACTGGCTCAATCCAGGATCTCAGGGATGGATTACACCACGCTGTGAACGTACAAACTCATATAATTGTCGAGATGAGTCGTAAGCTTGGAACTTTGGCTGAGATTCAGGCTCTGGCACAGAAGGTTGATTTGATCAAGGAGCGAGTTGACAGGACAGCACGGTTGGGAATAGATTAATTTATTCCATTATTGGATTGAGAGGGGTTGAGACCAACAGAACTTTAAGACAGAGAGGAAATTATCTGTCTGGCCCCAAAACAAGTTCTTATCTGAATCTGGTGCCCCTGAGCCTGTGAGGCTGAAGTGATTACTCCCCCTCAGAAGAAATGTGGAATGCTGCCGTCGCCATGACAGCTCTGCCTCCCTATCCCAGCCTGGGCGGGACTGCGACCGGTGAAGGCCGTGGAACCGTTTCCAGGAGTCACTGTGCTTTCTAACCCAACTACCTCCCTCCCCTGTCCAAACGGAGGTGACGAGCGCTGCTTATCGCGGCTGCATGCACTGATGTGAGGAGAGTCCCCAACCCTACCTCCCCACCTAGTGGACACTTATGTTGTGTGATGTCTGAAGTCAGTTGCATTTCTGTCTGAGGTGTTTTTTTTTGCACAGCAAAGCTGCCCTCCCTGTGGAGGGTAACTCTGAAGTGCCTTTTTTTCCTCCACCTGACTCAATCCTCATGTAAACCCTCTGATCTCTATTAAGGTAGCGCGACTCGGGTTGCGAATGACCACAGTCACCATTCTTGTCATGTGTCTATGTCTATGTATGTATGTGTAGCGAAGAAACTCCTACATTTAATTAGAAACCATAAAATGTGAAATATCACCTTAATGGATCTTTAAGTAAATTTATTCAGAATATTGGATCTTTTTATTGCAGGGATTGAGCAACACTTCGTATTAACTTGAAGAACTGAGAGTGAGTCAAGTTTTAAAAGTTTAAAGATTTATTACTAAACAAATTAAAACTAGACTAACTTCAACACTAGGTGTATGGTGTAACTAAGGTGAAGTAAGACTGAGAATGGTGTATGTGTGAATATTTCAGAACCAGCAAATCCGGAGAAACGATAAGTTCTGTTGGGAGTGAAGATGATGTTTCGCGCTAAGCTGTTCTTGAAGATTTATAACACACATTGAGATGCCGTTCCCTTGGCGGAAGTCCCTGTCTAGATCAGGAGGTGTAGAGGTCCAGCTTGGACCTTTCTGGAGCCGAAGCCTGTAGCCCAGCCGCGGCTGCCGACCAGTCCTGTCTTTGAGATACTTCCAGGTCACGAAAGTTTTATTGGCATCTAGCAAGGCCCAAAAAGGGGTAGATGATTCAGCTTTTATTCTGAAAGGAACCGTTGCAGCAGGTGGAACAGCAACAGATTTTATCCAGCTTATCGCTGTTTTTTTCAGCTGAAGAGGGAAGTTACGGATTGGCCACTCCGACACTTCTCCAGAACGCTTTGAACTGAAGTTAAAGATGGCGTGGGCATAGTTTCATACTTCGGATGTTTTGATTTACGGTCGAATCAAAAAGGGACAGATTTACCAAGCACCATCAAAACCACGCCTCGCATCAGACCTGGAAGGTTCTGATTGGATCAGTAAAAGCAACGTGTCATGTGGCTTAACCTTACGTGTAATCAATCTCTAGTGGAAACATTTAAAGTTATATTACTTATTATATTCTATAGGATTATAATATCAAGTAATTAATATTTTCATTTCACAGATTGGTTCGCATTTTATTATTGACTAACACTTTGTTTGATTAGCTTTATTAAAATAGAGTTCTTTGTCGTCATTCTTCTCTTGAGCTGGAAGGGAACAGTTTAGAAGCAAATGCATGACCTTGAGCAATATCTCATGCAGATTAGTTCTGTGACAGAGACATCTGAGGAGGGAGGGTAAATAACCTTCGGTGGAATAGCTCCTGCATCACGTTACATATGTCTGATCTCAGAATTATGTGTGTGGAAACTCTAATTTCTCTCTGGGATTAATAGAGTATCTTTGAATTTGAAGTTGACTCCTCCTTGAGCTCCTGAGATTTGATCTGTTATCTGGCTTGAGCCCAGGTGAAGGATATTGAGATTTGTTTAATTTTTTCATCACAGCGGAAACCGATTGAAGGTTGTATCGGTAGCTTTCACTGGTCCTTCTGCAGAGGAAGCTCCTGATTTCATAACGGTCTAAAACGAGTCGAGGCTGCATGAAGAAAAGTCAAGCCCAGTCTAAAGCTCTAAGGTGGATTTACCGTGATCTATCTGGGAGAAGTTAAGAGCTTACTCGGGATAATTGTCCTGAGTGAACAGTCTGTGCTGCTGCCAAGCCACTTATGGCTGTAATTATTTTAATTAGTAATACAGCCGATAACTTAGCAGTGCAGCTGCAGCCGAGGCGGATCTCACTGCTGCTGGAGGCTGATTAAATGCCTTCCTCCTCCTCCTTCCTCGCAAACCTGCAAAGGATAGACTGAGAGGCAGGTGAGGGATGAATGGAGTGGGCCATCACAGCTGAAACCGGTTGTTCCCTCATTCAGGATGGATTTTATCTCCTTTTCTCTGTTAAAGGATAACAAATTATGTAAGTGAATGTAGATGTGCTGAACACAGATCTATCTGGTTTTAGCTGTGGGGCCATTTTCTCTCCTTAAAAACCTCTGCGCTCATTCCTTCTGTCCAGCTTTAGGATTTCTTTGATTTCCAGATGAGGAAAGCTCCAGAAAAGCTTTCATACGGAATGAAAAGTCGTTGTAGATGCTGTCTGAACAGCAGGGGTTTATTTCCTCCTGTCCCCAGGCAGCTGGAGCCCCGGGAGCCAGCATTAGGCTGTCTGCTGTATGCCAGAGCGGTCACGAGTGTTGTGGCCTCCCGTCAGGTCGGTGTGAAGGTCAACATGTCTGAGACCAGTCGAGTGTTTCCTGTTGGTGGTCTGTTATCCACGGTAGGACAAGTCCTACTGGTCAGGCAGAGTTTCTTCAGAGTAGAAACAGGACTTTACAAAGAGATGTTTTTAGTTTTCTGCCTAGAAAGAGTCAACTAGATGCTGCAGAGTATGTGATGATGTCATCCGTATACAAATGGCTCTGAAAAGCACCAGCTGCATTGATCAAGTCATTAATGCGGAGACAGAATAAAGTAGCCCCCAGCAGGGGGCCCTGAGGCACACCTTTGGGAATAGGTGATGTTTCCCAGATGTTGCCAGTCTTTAGCTGCTGGAGGTAGTTTCAACCACAACTGATGAACAAGTAAAAGTAAGTGGTGGCGACACCGATGCTAGAGAGCCTACGTGAGAGCATCCTATGATCCGTTTAGTCAAAGACATTAGTGAGGTCAGTAAAGTGAACCACTTTTACTTTGAAATTCTTCCCTTTTACATCTAAATCTTTAAGCCGTGGTCCGTGAATGGTGGAGCTGCGTCTCTTAGGTCTGACTCCCTCATTATCGTAGCTCTACAAGTCTATAGGCTTAGACTGCTGGAGGACACACTGACCACTTTCCACACTCGACTACTTTCTTCTACAGTCTGCTCTTTAACTGTATTATTTCCTGCTATTTCAGCTGTTAACTTTATTTTGTCTCTAAGTGTTTTTCTCCCCAGAAGAAGCTACAATGATGTTCTGCTGAGCTGTGGTGGCCTCATGGAGGGGGCCATCGGCTAGCACACTGCTGCTAACCACTTAAACATTCTCCCTCTCCTGATAATAACATTTTACTCTCTTTGACGTTGAATGTGCTACTACTAGTTTACCCGTTTAATTATAGATTCACTAGGATAAATACAACAAAGTTTATCTCTCGCCAAATAGAATATTTACTAAGAAATCACATTGGAACCATAGACACACTACTAGCGGTGTGTGTGTGTGTGTGTGTGTGTGTGTGTCTGTCTTCTCCATCCCCAGTGAGTCGTGGAGGATGGCTGCTTATACTGAGCCAGGATCCTCTGCAGGTTTCTTCCTGTTAAAAGGGAGTTTTCCTCTCCACTGTCGCTGCATGCTTGCTTAGTATGAGGATTGCTGTAAAGACTCTGACACTAGTCAGTGACTCGATGCAACCTGCTGGGTTCCTTATATAGGAAACTTGTTGCTGATTGGCTTATTGACCTGACCTGTGTTGGAGTGTTTACTGTGTGAAGGTCCTCGAGACGACTCTGGTCCTGATTTGGCGCTTTAGAAATAAACTGAATTGAATCATCAGCAGAGAAACGCAGCAAATGTCTGGTTTTAAAAACAGTTTTAGGATCTTAGAAATCAACTAAACGGGACGAGTTTGTGCACTTCAGCAACAGCTGCACCGTTCAGATCTCATCTGTGAATCTTCAGCAGCAGCTTCTCTGTTTTCTGATCTGGTTTTAGTTGACAGAGTTTTGCAACAGATCCAGAAACTTGATGTAGATGAAGCTGTGAAGGAGGGATCTCTGCTGGGTTGGGGTTATTTAGACTGGTGTGTGTGTGTGTGTGATGCTTAATGAATACAAAGTTGACCACAGAAGCTTTGAGAACTTCGTTGAATTCTCAACATCACCTCTGCGTGGACCTCCCCACCCCGCCCCTCGCTCACGCCTCCACCTGATGCTCCTCTCCTCCTCCATCATGAAACTGCAGATTAGGACATATTTTCCACGTTGGCTCAGAAGTTTGAACTCTGATGAGCTCTTTCCATTTTGAACCTGGGGATAATTAGCTTCTCCAGACGAAGCCAAGAACTGGAAGGAGGATGGAAAAGACCTCGGGAGCATTACACAACATTCGGGTTCTCCTGTAAATCAGATCGTGGTTTTCCAGCAGAACTGGCAGCAGCTGGATGATGCATCTCCGTCTGTCGCTACGGAGATCCAGATGTCTCACATTCTTCTGCTCGTCCTCTGTCCTCCAGAGAGACGGCAACACGAGGACGACTGAAGCTGGAGTTCTGGGTTCTGGAGTGGTGCAGCTGAGGGCCAACGTCTGGACGTTACGCAACACGCAGGACTAAAGATTCCAGCTGTTTGTGCTGTGGAGGGTGTGTTGGGTCTAACCCTGGAGGGTTGTATAGAAACACATATAAAAGAAGTCTCCCTTAGACGGTCACAGATTGTTTGGTTCTGATCAGATTTCATGAAGCATGACAGGATCTTGATTTCTCAGATAAAAAAGGGTTGAAGCTGGTGTTGGAACATTCCGGTGTTATGAAGAGGATTTTTGGCTTAGAGTGATTTTTGGGATGTGAAGTACGGAAGGAAGATCTGAAACAAAATCAAGAAACAAAGTTTAGAAAGAAGCTGCTGCTTTACGGGAACTAAAATCCTACTAAGGCCCTGTCCACACGTAGCCGGGGATCTGCCAAAACGTAGATATTTTTCTTCGTTTTGGCCTGTCAGCCACACGAAAACGGAGTTTTTTCACACGAAAACGGATCTTTTTAAAAACTCCGGCCAAAGTGAAGATCTGCGTTTTCTCCGTTTTGGGTGTCTGCGTGTGGACGGACAAAACCGGAGTTTTAAGGTCCGCAACGTCACTTTCCGCGACAGAAAAATGCTGACATCACGTGTGCGACCTGTGTTTACACTAGCCGACAGCATGGATGCCCTCAGAGCTGCGCTCGCTTTATCAATTGTCCAAGCGCTTTCTGCTTGTTTGTTTTTGCAAGCGGAATTACTGCTCCTTGCGGAAGACCACAGACGAAGGACGAGGTTAAGAACGGGGGAAGTACTGCCGCCTACAGGTCTGGCATGTCCTTAACAACGTATTTATCCGGGTACGTGTGGACAGAGTTTGTTTTAAAACGAGGTGGAGTGGATGCAAGTTTTTGGAGGGGCGGATATTCGTTTTTGAAAAAACCCGGCTACGTGTGGACTAGGCCTTTATCTGTGCTGTTAGGTCTCGTCTTCCTTTCCTCGTGTGAAGCTCTCTGAGTAAACGTGTTTCAGAATCCATTTCTCCCAACTCACACCTGCGTCTTCTCTGCCCAGCTCATCCTAAGGGATCCTGCAGCATTCCCTGTGGGAATACAATCCCATTAAGGAGTTCTGGGTCCGCCCCAGGAATCCTCCGCCCCTTTGATGGGGAGGAGCAGCAGCTCTACTCCGAGCTTCCTCGGGATGACAGAGCTGCTGGGCTCAGCCCGGCTACTCTACGAATGCTCTTGGATCCAGGATCTGCTTCTCAGCCGTGATCCACATCTCCTGACCGAAGGGGAGGGTTTAGGAGGACCAGTTGATGTTTTTCTCCTTTACCGACTGGAGCATCGTGGCTACTGACGAAGCTCCGATCCATCGGCCTCCATCCTTCCTTTATCCAGGACACCAGGATAAGTGAACACTTGAGGGAAAACCCAGAGGGAGCATTTCATTATTCCAGGCCCAGAACCACGACTTCATTCAGGTCCACTCCAGTAGAACCGAACCCAACTTGACCGTCTGCGTTTGGGAGCTGATAAATCAAATATCGTTGTTTGTTCAGGCTAAAAATTCAGATTCCAGTTAAATATGAGAGATAAAATAATTTTTACTCATTAAATTTGAGTACATGATTTCCTTGAACGCAACTTCTGTAGACTGAGGCCTAGTCCACACGTAGCCGAGGTTTTTTAAAAACCAATATCCGCCCCTCCAAAAACTTGCATCCACACCACCTCGTTTTAAAAAAACTCTGTCCACACGTACCCGGATAAATACGTTGTTAAGGACATGCCAGACCTGTAGGCGGCAGTACTTCCCCCGCTCTTAACCTCGTCCTTCATCTGTGGTCTTCCGCAAGGAGCAGTAATTCCGCTTGCAAAAACAAACAAGCAGAAAGCGCTTGGACGATTGATAAAGCGAGCGCAGCTCTGAGGGCATCCATGCTGTCGGCTAGTGTAAACACAGGTCGCACACGTGATGTCAGCATTTTTTGTTGCGGAAAGTGACGTTGCGGACCTTAAAACTCCGGTTTTGTCTGTCCACACGCAGACACCCAAAACGGAGAAAACGCAGATCTTCACTTTGGCCGGAGTTTTTAAAAAGATCCGTTTTCGTGTGAAAAAACTCCGTTTTCGTGTGGATGACAGGCCAAAAGGTAGAAAAATATCTACGTTTTGGCAGATCCCCGGCTACGAGTGGACAGGGCCTGAAGCTCTGCTCTGATTTCCCACTTTGAATTTTTATTCATATTTCGTCCTTTTAGACTCCGATTAATTATCTTTAAGATCTTTGTAGTGAACTCATACAAAACAGTTATGTTCAGGCTCTTAGAGGTCTGAGCTAGAACAGCGGTGACCTGGAGACGAGGGTTCCTTGGATGCTGATTTACTAGTCCTGACTAGTTTTGGGTCTAAACGGCCCAGTTTGATGTTCTGCTGCGAGCAGAAGGTCCTGCACCCCGCAGCGCGCTCACCTGTTTGTCCTGAGGAGGAGAAGGTGGAAGGTGGACTCCTAATCAGCTGAGCGTATGGAACGCCGTGTTTCTGAATGTTGTTTATAGAAGCCTCGTTCGCACGCTGACACGACTCTCTGGTCCAAACGAAACGTCCGTGAGGCGCTTTGATCGGAACACAACAGGATTACAGGGAGCACTGCTCTTCTCCTCCACAGGGCGTTTCTGGAGATGGTTGTAAAGAAATGAAAGAGGAATAAATCCTGGTTGCCTCTGGAGAGTCTCGGCCTGCGGCAAACGGAGCAAACAGCTACAAAAAACAGTCAAATATCGGGTTGGTCCTCAAACTTCAGTTTTTCTTCTCTGCAGTTTGAAAACTCTGAGAGTTTGTTGATGCGTGATGGAAGGCCTGCTGGTTTTAGGATTAATCACCCAGCCTGACTCTTGTTTTTGGGCTTTTGCGTTATTTTTAGGACCTGTATCTAGCATTGATAACGAGTTGGCTGACAAATTTAAAATTGGCATTTCCGTCAGCTAGCTGGAGGAAAAGCAGCAATCATAAATCAGAGGCTCAAGATGAAAACGTTTTCTTTTTGGAGTTGAGGTGACATTTCTAACTGCTCTGAGGGTAAAAGTGAACCTCAGCAACAAGATGAATGAGATTTAAATTTTCTGCCCAAAACTGTCAGTGTTGTGCCGTTGTCAGGTAAAAAACTCTGCATTTGAATTTAAATCTGCCATCACTATTGGCTGAGAGGTACCCTAGAACGTTAGCTGGTACCATATGATGTCACAATGTCGTTGTGAGCCTGTGTGTGTGTGTGTGTGTGTGTATTTGTTAGTGGCCCCGCCCTCTCGGTCTGCTAGGCAACAACATTTGTTTCATTTTTCAAACAGGAAGTGGGAATGGCATAATACTCTGGTTGGGGGTGACTTGCTCTTTAAAAATTCCAGTTTTAGAATTCCTGGGATCTAAATCTGCTCCATTCACAGATTCAATCCGCCCTCTGACCTCATCATCCAGGCCTTTCCGGATGTAGGGATGGAAACAGTTTGTTCTTTGATAGAAAGAGGAGTAAAGAAAATGGATGCAGGTCCCTAAACCTCTGAGAGGAAGTACAGTAAGCTTTTATTCGCACCGCACCGTGAATGCAGCCTAAGTCTGCAGCATGCTGTAACGGACCGACACCAACAAGGCCCGGCGTTGTCCTCCCCCTCCGCGCTCGCGCTCCAGGGTTGTGTTGCTCAACAGCACAACAACAGTTTAAGCTCAGAAAATGAAGTCAGATGGTGAGAAAATCAGCTTTTAACACCGAAGAACAGCTGATTGACCGGAGCATAGCCGAAACATGAACATTTAGTATTTATTCACACAAATGAAGGAGGCAGATTTTGAGCAGGATGCTTAATGACTGAAGTTTTAGTCATCGGTCCTGAGGCCCAGAGAGAGAAGCTTTTACCGAAATTACAATCTCTGTCTTTTAATCCATCTGAACAAGTGAAGAACCTGGGCGTGACTTTTGACTCTGAGCTGACTTTTATCCCACACATTAAAAATATCACAAAAATAGGTTTTTATCATCTAAAGAACATTGCCAGAGTCCGCCCCATTCTCTCTCGGGCCAATACGGAGACGTTGATGCGTGCTTTTATCACCAGTAGGATAGACTACTGCAAGGCCCTGCTTTCTGGTCTTCCCAAAAAAGCATCTCAGGCTTACAAATTCTACAAAATTCAGCAGCACGTGTCCTGATGAAGACCAGGAGGCGGGAGCACATGACACCGGTTTTAGAATCATTGCATTGGCTCCCCGTATGTTTCAGGATCAATTTTAAGGTTCTTCTAATGGTTTTTAAGTGTCTTAACGGTCTTGGGCCTTCTTATCTCTCAGAACTGCTTTTACCATATGAACCCTCGCGGCCTCTGCGCTCCTCTGGCAGGCGTCTCCTGGTCATCCCTAAAGTCAGGACACAAACTCACGGCGAGGCGTCCTTCCAGTGTTATGGCCCTCGCCTCTGGAACGAGCTGCCGGAGGATCTCAGGGCCGCAGAGAACGTTCATTTTTTAAAGTCAAGACTCAAGACCCATGTTTTTAGGTTAGCTTTTATCTAAATATTTACCACAGTTTTGTTTCTCGTTTTACATGATTATATTTTATTACTTGCTTTGCGTGTTCTATATGATTATACTTTAGCACAGTTTTATTATTTAAATTATTATTTTACTATCTACATGATTTTATTTATTACTTATTTTCTAATTTTTGTCATTTATATTAGCTCTTTTATTACATTTTTACTCATTTTAATCCAGTGTTTCCTCTGTGGGGGCCCTCTGCCCCGGGAGCGGTGGTCGACTAGCTTCCTGGGCGCTCCATAGGTGGGGCTCTATGCTCCCCCTCCACTGAGCGCCCTGACTTAGTGTGGAAGACCTGATGCTGCCGGGACAGACGGCTCCTCTGATGGCGTTTCCTTGCGTTACCATACTTGGCTCATCTGGACTCAGCCTAATGTAATTTTTACTTGTGTGTGTGTGTGTGTGCGTGTGATTGCTTATGTTTGTTAATGTTTTTAACCTGTTATGGGAATCTGGGGTCATTTTGTAAAGCACTTTGAATCACACTTTGTTTGAAAAGCGCTTTAGAAATAAAATTTGATTGATTGATTGATTTGATTAAAACACAATAAAGAGAGAAAGCGCTCCATGAGCTTATCGAGCAGCAAGTTTCAAGGTCTCAAAGGCATCTCACACACAACTACTCCTCAGGCTCTCGGGAGTCAGAGAAATATCATTTATTTATCAAAAACACTGATATTTTCCAGTGTAGTTGCCTTTCTTTAATATTGATAACATCAGCGGAGACGAGTACTTCCTGCAGAACCCGGCCTTTTTTTCAACTGGTTTTTACTGGAGTTTATTTAAAGGTGCAGTATGTAAGAGTGTAGTGAGAAGTTTACAGTGAGCAAATCCCAACGGAGTCTGATGTTTCAGTCACGTCAGAAGGAAGGTGATGCTGAAACATGTTTCAAACCCAGCTGCTTCTCTCCCTTCCAAACATCTGTGTGTGTGTGTGTGTGTGTGTGTGTGTGTGTGTGTGTGTGTGTGTGTGTGTGTGTGTGTGTGTGGTGGTGGTGGGGGTGGGGGTTTGGGCAAGACAAGTCTTACCTGCTGGTGGTGGTCGGAGGAACCGGTGGCGCCTGTGTTCGGCAGCCTCACCTCTCTCGGGGCGCCCCAGGGCAGCTGTGGCTACATCGTGTGTTGTGAAGCGCCTTGGGGGGTTGTAGAACCCTAAGAAGGTGCTATACAAATATAGGACACTTAACATTTATGCCTTCCAAGGAGGGAAGTGGTGCACCAGTGGTCTTCTCAGCGGTGCTCACGAAGCGCTGTGGAGGTTTCCTGTTGTAGGAGCGACCCGACAGATCCCAAAAAACTTCCAGCCCTCGACACGGGAGCTGCGGATAAGCAGGCCGACCGCGCCTCAGACGTCTTAAGCCAAATGTCCATCGCTGTATCTGGCCGTTGTGGACCGTCGTGTTCCGGTTTGGGTTTGTAGTTTTCAAGCAAGTGTTTCAATCGTGGTTAGGGCCCTCATGTCGCCAGGTGGGGTCAAATTACCCTCATGAGCAATTTTATAAGTTGCACAACTATTCAGTGTTTTTGTGCTACATTAAACGGTCTGCAGAGCTAACGGCTAAAACAAAATGGTTTCCACAGGCTCCACATGTGACTCCAGAGTGCGATCGCTGAGTCCAGAGTCGTGCCTCGGTTATAAGTGGCACCCAGCGCCACGCAGCGACTCCATGTATTTCTCCTGTTGGAGAAAGTAAATAAATCCACCGGTTGTTTCTGTCCTTAACTTTTGATTTCTTCAGCTTGGCCCGACTCCGCGGAGGAAAAAAACGTCCTTACCGCTCCGTATAGCTCCTCCTGACTCACGATGATGGTAAGGAATGAGCAAAGCTCTGAGGGTGACCCAAACTTGCTGCTTCTTGCACATATTTTTTCACATTTATGTACAACTAATGAAAAGACCAACAACAGAACTCCGTTTGTTTGTCGCAGAAGTGACAAAAATTGCAGTTCCACCCTCATCCACTAGGGGCTGGTGTCAGAAGCGAGCAAATCCTCATTGACTCCCATGTTAAAAATACCAATTTCACCGCAGAAATAAACATGTTTACAGCCTGGTACCAAAACATGTTTTTGGTTTAAATGATCTAGTTTACACTCATGACAACTCTGAGGGGGGTGAATTGTTTTCTCACTCTTCTGTTTAAGTGTATTAAAAGCCTAAAATTCTGTATAATTATTGAGCATCAGACCCACGTGACCACAGAGCTAGCTCCGTGGAAAGGCCTCGCCTGAAAACTGTGCCGCCATTTTCAGTGTCTCAACTTAGACCATTAGTTGTAGCGTTTGTGTATTCTTTTTTGGATATTATTTGTGCAATTGTTGGACAAAATGACTTGCTGTGGCATTAATTGCACTAATAGAGCGTCCAAGGAGTCTCCACTTCATTTTTATCTGTAAGTAAAATTATATTTATGTATTTTAGGTCACAGCCAAGCTGAGTTTAGATTTTAACATGTACTGTTTAACCATGAAATTTAAATGTAATAGGGTAAAACCCAGTGCATTTAACGTAATGCTGCACTTTAGAAAATGGGTTGAAATATAACATGTTGGTGGAGCTGGGTTCCGACTATCTGTATGGTCCCCTCCCCTCAACGGCAAATCGGCGTATCTCTGACTCAGAAGCTCTGGTGTTGTGCACAGTCAACTCCGGTTGTAGCTAGGTAGCTACCTCCATTAGCTTAGCTCCCACCTCTGCCTTAGCTTTGGGTTAGCTTGTAGCTACATTGCTTCAGTTCGACAGGTGTCGTCATTTGATCCCAGCCTTACAGCACCACCCTCGGCTCCACCTCTTTTCCCTTTTTTGGAATTTTTTGGCTTGACGGAACCTGTGACACGGTCAAAATAAAGGTGGTGGGAACCTCCCATTTTGGCACAACAACGTATAATTGGAGCCTATGGACACGAATTGTCCAGTATAAATGTCGATGGAACTCCATGAGGTCCAGGCGGGTCAGGGCCTTCATGATGGAGGAGACGCCTGCCGTACTGTCCCTCAGAGTCGGGTCTGACTTGACTTTTAGCCCAAACCTCCGGCTTCCTGAACGCATTAGGCATGAAAGATAAATTCTCTGTGATGAACTGTTAAC